TCTGAACTGGGATGGAAAGGAAAGACAGAGATGGGGAGACATTCGCTGGCCTTGGTGACTATTTGGCTATGCAAGGGTGTGGTTTGGGGCATGGATGACTAAAGACAGGGATACTGCAGTGGAGGAACTACATGTATGAAGGAAACTTCAGTTTTATATACTCTGAGGTGATGGCAATGCAGCCATGAGGAAATACCCGTCCAGCAGAAAGGCAAAATTAAAGCTCTGGGGATCTTCATTTTAGAGATATATAATTAATGGCATCCCAAAGAAAGATTGAAGCCACTGGGAAAGGGATGAAAGAGAGGTAGATGGAAAATAGGCAAAACAGTGCTGTTGAAGGTCAAGGGAAGATTTTTGACAAAAGAGGGGCTACTTGACATGGGAGGAGGTGAGAAGGTAACTACACAGAAAGATGGCTCATGAATTCATGTTCTTTTTATCTGTGTATCCTCATATCTAGCTTTACTTAAAATCTTTTTTCCCCTAAAATCTGTTCTTTTTTATTTTTCTCTGCTGCCAAGACACTCATCACATCCTGCCTTGATTTACACAAACTCCTTCTCACTGGCCTCTTTCTCATCAGTTCCCTACTCCAGGCTTTGCCAAATGTTACTGCCAAGTCCATTTTCCTTTCCTGCTGTTCAGACTATGTCTCTCCCACTCTGCTTTGGCTTCTCTTCACCTTCCAGCCTCCCCACGACTCTGCACCTGCTTACAACTCTTCCTCATCCTTCCTATGGCCCCCACCTCCCCCACCCTCCCTCCTTCCTCTGGCCCTCTCATCTTCTCTGGCATCTTTAACGACCAAATTCAGGCACTCATAACTTCAGGCCAACGGCCTACGTCATCCTCCCCCGCAGACCTCCCGACTCGTGCACATCGACATAGCTCCTATTCCTGCTGCAGAGAAGCCCAGCATATCCCCTCCCTTTGTGAGGCTTGCCAGCTCTGATAACTGCATGGTGTGTGCTGCTTTCCCCCAGAGTATACAAAAGAATATTGTTTGTACCATACTCTTTCCTGTCCCTGTTACCTCTAGGACCTTATATTGTTTGCTCTGGAAGAACATGATTTCATTACTGTCAGATGATTTCTGTTTCTTGTAAGGCACTTATTGGTGTTGCCTCGGGGTATTGCATAAATAATACTGATCTCACAATGCCTCTCTGATGAGAGGGCTTACACCCAACCCATTTGTCCAAAAGCACCTTGAGTTTTTTCCCAGTAATACCTGGAAGAAAACTGTATCTGTCAAGAAGAGGAAGAACATTAATGTATAGAACAGAAGCTGTGATGTTTCTATTGTCTTCAACAGATAACACTCATGAACAAAAAATGAGTAAATTTGTGAGTAAATAAGAAATTCAATGGGCATTATAGGTAGCTTAGCATAAACTCCTCTCCAGCTATAGAACGTTCCTCAAGGACACAATACTGCTATCATAGAAAGCAACCACTTGCATTGCCTACTCTGAACCTTTGCTCATGCCAGTTTCACTTAGCATATATACTAATGTACTTCATTTTTGGTGAAAATACTCATGATAGAGACTCAAGGATTAATTTCAAATAAGGTCTCTATTTATAAATACATAGGTATAAAGAATAATAAACTAGTATGCATGTCTCTGGGAGCATGATTTAAATAATTGTTGCTTAATTCTAAGTTTTCTTCTCAAGAAAAAAATGCTTGAATACTTCTCATTTATTTAAATGTACTTGATATTCTCACAAAATGTAGAAGTCAAATATCAAAGAAAGATTTGTTCCTTATCTGCATTTTTATTCTTTTTAAATGGTGAAAAAAAAAACCTTGAAATTCAGCATCTGAGTTTCATTTTCAATAAGAATCAGAAAATTGTCAAAGGCAAACTGTTTTCCATCATACAAATGACTTGATCACAGATAATAAAATTGCACAAACCTCAAAGCCTAAATAACCATGTAAATGGGTTCTATGTTTTTTTGAGACAGATGGTGGATCACAACAGTGATGGGTTATGAATTCCAAAAAGATTGTCCTCCAGAATATAAGAAAAAATGACTAAAGAAGCAGATTTAAAATATAGTTAAAGTGAAACCAAAATAGAAAAATCACATCAATTTTTAAAAGATCAAGAGAACATACAGATTATATCAGAACCACTCTGGAAAGAAAACCATTTTGAATTGAAACATTATGCTTATGTTAACAGAAGGAAATTGGAATGTATTTCAACAAGATGAGTAATGTTATCTACTTCATTCCGTATCATGTCCAAGATTGTAGAAAATTGCAGTCTACTATCTGTCAACCATCTAATCACTTGCTGCTTGCCTAGAGGTATGCCCAGCAACCATGGCCATTGTTGGGGACTCTTAATCTCCTTATCTGGTTCTTGGCTGCATAATGTGAGAGTGAATTAGGAACCATTATGGAAGAGAATTAAGTTCTCATTGATAGGTCTTGCATTCCCAGTACAATTCAAAGGAGCCCAGGTGTAGATGTGTAGACTACCCTGTCTAGGTCAGGGACAATAGGCATAGTTTGTCAAAAGGCCAACAATAAGTCAACTCCAGAAAAGCATGGGCATATAGAGTGTAGCAAAAGAATCAAGAGTGCCAACTTCAACATCAATTCCTCGATATGCATTCTCAGGCCATTTAGCTGTATTATTTTGTGAACAAATATGTTTTAATATCTTCTTATATGTAGTAAAATACATAGTATGTATAGTATCTATAATATCACCTGCCTCTGCTTACATCCCAGCCTTATCTCCCCTTTCTCTACACTCCAGCTCTGCCTTCCTTCTCTCAGGATGCTTCATCCTCCTTCCCGACTCAGAGCCTTTGCACCTGCTCTTCCCTCTGCCCAGTCCCTCCTCCTTTTTAACCAGGACAATTCCTATTTAGATTTTAAGTCCCCTTTAAATGTTGTTTCCCCTACTATAGCTTCACAGAAACTTGTAGGTTTCCTCCAACGTATTCACCCCAGTTGTGGTTAATGGTAATGTCTGACTCAGGCAAATGATAAACTCTAAGAGGGCTCTCTCTCCTTTGGCTTTTTGGTTTTTTTTCTTTCAGAAACTGTATTCCCAATGCTTAGCATAGTACCTGCCCAAAGGAATAGCTCAGTCGGTGTTTGTTGAATGAATGGATGAAGAAAGGATTTTCTTGGTGATTAGAGTGTCACTCTGGACTTTTCACAAAATCCTGCTACTGCATATGCAGAGACCAATGACTTGGTGTCCTCTTTTTGATATCTTATTGCGTGGCTTTATTTACTTCCCAGATCCAGATGAAAACTTTAAGGCTCCCCATGAGGATATTTTGGTGACCAAAAAAAGTGACCAGGAAAAATTCCTGCCTAGAATTTAGGAGAATATAAGAGCTAGAAGATTCCCCTGTATATGCCCCTGAAGAGGAATGTGGCGGCCCCACTGATAGTTTACTGTGCCATGGGGCTCATGACCATTGCCAGGACAGATTCCCCAAACACAGACTATGACCAAGTGGGTGAAGGCAGCATATCATCAGAGACCGTGCGGAGTATTTCATGGAGATCTGGGAGGCATATTATATTTACCAAGTAAGGTTTGCTCGATTATTGTTACCCAAGTAGGTGGTCAGTTATTTTTACCCAGATTCAGTTAAGAGATGAGCCCTATTTTGGATGAGGATGGCTTCAAAAAAGTCCATCAAGGTGGATCGGAGCAGTTGATGGTCTAAGTTAGCACCAGAAGTGTCAAGTAGGAAAGTGCTACGGTTTGATGCCCAAGGTATATTGCTGGACTTGCTGTGTTTATATATTATGAAAAACAGCTCACTGAGCCCTGGCCCCCCATGGATAAGCATTCATCAGGGGACGGTTCTGCTCAAAGAGTGTACTTCTGAGCTCGGGTAAAGTATTAATTCATGCATGGTTTCATTGTTTTCACAGACCACCAATAAATTTAGGAAATGTTTGCACCTATAATCCGCCTTCGCTGGATAGTCACAGTGTGCATAGCACATGGATGGACTTAAAGAAGTTCTGACTAAAGAAATCTTCAACTCATCTGACATGATACTCATATTCAGAAAGATTATGTGTCAGTCAAGATAATCTTTAGTATGGCTGCTGTGTCTGACAACCTCTGACCTCACTGGCCTAAAATAGCAAGGTTACTTCATCAGCGCCGCCTGGTGCATCACGGTTGTACTAGTCCAGTATATGGGTTTGACTAATCTTGTGCAGTGTGGTCTTCACTCTGGATCCAAGTTTGTAAGAAGAAGCACCATCTGAGCATCTTTGGTTGCTCTGGCAGAAGGAAAAGATGAGTGAGCTCTGATGTTTCACAATTAAATTGTTGCAGCTGGAGAGTGACTCAGTAACTTGGGAATTTTGTCAGAACTTGTCACATGGGCCCCACGCAATGGGGGGCTGAAAAATACTATCCTACCATGGCCTGAAGTGTAACAGCCAAAAATACTCAGTAACAGCGCGAATGACAACCCCATGTAATATGACTGAACACTAATGTTTATTGGAATTACAGTTGAACCCACTGCTGTTCATATTTAAAAATAAGAAATAATAATTACTATTCAAGAATGTTCAGCACCTAAAGTATATGTATGACATACATACTCAGAGAAAAAAAAAAAAAAAATGGAATTGGAATTGTTAATTTTAAAAAAACACTTATGGGGCAGGGTGCTCACAAAGAATATTCTTTTGGAAGGTTTTATGAAACCACATTCTTTTCACTTAAAGGCCTCCAGTGATAATCCCACAGTAGATAAGAAATCATTTTCCAAGCCAATCCATGCTTCGTCCACAAAAAACCAAAAATCATGCAAACATCCACAACACAGCCTAATTGGTTACACTACAGGGAGTATATCATAAATGTCCATTTTAGCAATGAATTTGCATAGGTTGTGCAGAGATTTAATGGTCCTAAGATAAATCCCATGATATAGAATAAGTTGGCATAGAATTCATTTAACACAGAAAAATTAAATGTATTTGTGCTATTTCATCGCTAACCTCTGAGAATTCCTTGATGAAGTCTACTAAATCAATCTACCTAATGCTCGGTACCTTTTTGACCATTGGCTGTAACTGTTTCACATCAATGACACAGCACCAAAAAATAGGGTGAGGATGTTCAGAATAACTACCTTGGTTCTGAGATTTACACCTTGCATTACCGAGAACAATGAAATATACTTATATGGCGTTTTCATTTTTTTTTCATAATTCACGCTGCTTCTGGAGGAAATACAAGGGCATTAGGATCCATGTCAGTTTCCACAGCCAGCATCTCTCTTTTTT